CCCCCCCCCTTTATCGGATGCTTTGATGTCAAAATCGTGAAGAGATCTTCGGAAAGAATTGCTCGAAATCAACTCGTGTTTATGCGGCGAAGATCAAATTGCGAAAAGTGCGGAAAGGTTACGATTTATCATTAAAGAGGCAAACATACGTAAATTTGATATGTGCGAATTTAATGTCACACATTACGATCTTCTCCTGATGAGAATAGATGAGGATAGCTTGATCGATAAATAAATCATTCCCCCTTTACGCGAGATCAAAGCGAGCCTATCTCTTCACGCTTTGTTATTCCGTGGTTAATCCGCACGAAGGTCCCCATCGGTAAGTGCACGAATACAGGATAACGACGTGTTGTCATTAAATAAAAATCAATCGCATGGTCGTGAAGGAGGCTTAACGGATTTGCCTGTGCCGCCCATGGCTTAGTAGTCCTGCGGGGAAAGTAGCCCCCCTTCTCAACTCGCGTCCGCGTACGAGCTTGCTTAATACGTTACATATTTCCCATCGACGGTTGAATTATCTCTCCAACTGGATTACCAACGTAGTCTATGTTCGCGCGCTAATTATCCTTCGCTACGTTTTTCCTCCGGAATCAGGAGTAAAATCGAGGAAAAAAAGAGCTTCTCTCGTTCGCGGAAAAGCAGCCTGCGTCAAGTTGACGATAAGAAGAGCTCGGGAAAATAAGGGACGCTGACAACAGCGGTTGCGCTATTTTCTTTCTAAATTAACTGAATTCGATAGGAATGAAAATTATGGCTTAGGGTAAAACACTAAATAATTATGACATATCCTTAGTCATCGATATTCTAGAAAACTGGTCCTTCATGCGACTAGCATCGCGCAGTTAAACTTCTTATCTACATCCAATGATTCCAAAACAGAACTTTCAAAAAAGGACAATCATTCCAGAAAATAATTTCACAACTGTGAACAACCGTCACTGGTTGTTCACACACAGAACAAGAGAAACCAGATACTCCTAGAGTGTCAGTGACTGAAGGAGATCAATAATCGGAATTTTTACTCTACCTGAAAAAGAGATATTAATATGTGTATTAACTAATATGTGTAACGATTTAATATGTGTATATTTTCTGTCACAGGCTATCATGTACGAGGGACAAGACAAGAATCCGGAGATGTGCCGTGTCTTATTAACGCACGAGGTCATGTGCAGGTATGTTTGCGAAGAGAAAATTTCAAATTATAAGTTAGAGAAGACCGCTTCTTCCTTCCTTATTTATTCGCGCGCGATTGTTTTCTCGTCGATTTACGTTGGAATTTCTCGCCGACACCGATCGTGATGTCGAGTTATTTCGCACGTCGACTCGCGTTATTTGTGTTCGGGAAAGCTCCCCGCTACCATCCAGGCAGTCACCCTTGCGGCATAGCATAAATGTAACGAGGCATACGGGGATGTAGTCGTTCTCCGGGGGTGGCTGACTCATTGTGACCCATGGGACTTCGGGCGCGCACTACTACTAGCTTCCGCCACCTACTTCCCGAACCCCATAGGTCTTGATACTTTACAGGCGGACTCAAGAGAAACCCCCCTCCCTTTCCCAACTTCTCCTCATGGAATCTGCATCCGCGCGATTTTTCATTTTTTATCTTCTTCAAAAAAAAAAAAATCTCGCCGCAGCGAGATGCGCACGCAGTGGTACAATGGCGCGAAACGTTCTCTGCTTACAGTCGATGCTGCGACAAGAAGAGCTGTGGCAACAGGAACGAAACGCCCAGCGATCCTGTGATCATCGACCGGTGAGTTGTGTCTATCGTTATCTAACTATCGCGCGTCGAACAAACGCTTCAATAATCGGCGGCAACTTAAGACGCGACGCGCCATTTATCTTGCTCGTGACGATCGAATTTTACGATATCGTGGCATACACGAAATCCCCCGAATCAACGACGACGATGACGACAAGAATAAAGACGACGAACGTAACGATAGAGGCGTCGATTTTGTAGAGAGAAGGAGAGTGAGAGAGGGAGAAAGAGAGAGATGCGAACGACTCTCGTATCAGCCTGTCGCCTGCGCTATCGTCGCTTCCAACGATCTGCGAAATAAGGGTCCAGATAACTCCTTCTCGAAGGACCCGCCTATAAGATAGAGCCTCGTGTACCGTCGCGACCAGGCTCCTAGGACATTTAGGCTTGCAAAATACGTTTCCTGCGAGATGCGGCGACGGGGGGCCGCCGCCGCTGGGATAGAAGAGTACTCGAATACTCGGGGCGTACTTACACTACGTACTCCAGCACCGCGTATGGTGCTACTCGCCCATGGTAACATAGACTTCCCCCCTCTATACACCTACACTCGCTCACACTCTCTTCCTCCCTCGCGCCCGTCCTGTCTCTCTTCCATGGCGTGGCTAACGCGCACGCGAGAGAGAGAGAGAGAGAGAGAGAGAGAGAGAGAGAGAGAGAGAGAGAGAGAGAGAGAGAGAGTAGCGACGGGGTGAGCCCGGTATCTGAATAGGCTATAGAGTGTCCTGAGATAGGAACGGCAGGAAGGAAGAGGTTTCCCGCGGGACTCGGGCCGAGATAGTCTTCAGGAGGACATCTTGTGTTCAGGGGTGCTCAACCCCCGAGCTTCGATACAGCAGCGGCTTCGTGAGCTTTCATCCGTATTCGAGGAGGGATATGTGTTACGCGCCGGTGACAGGCAAAGCCCGGTAGGCTCGCACGTAACTATTTTTCCGCGCTTCCGAGTCTCTTCCGACGTCTGCACCTGTTGGCTGGGTTTAACCTCGATGTCGCACGCGAACCCGTGTCTTTCACTCGCCGATACTCGAAACCGCTCCGGCAACAAAACATGACGTGAATCACACGAAGCTATGAGCACTATAAATGAAAAGAAGTGCGCTAGATACACTGAGAGAAAGAATACGTGAGAAATATTTATTCGACGAGTACTAATAACAAATTTATTTAAATCTGAATTGTTTTAAAAAAATTGGACAAACAATATTTTATAAAAAGTAACGGTTATAGGCAAATACATTCTTTTTCTGTTTTAAAAACATCTATTTTGTTCTGCTTGCATTAATTGTCTCAATTTTTCGGGTAAGGCAATCATAGCACCCTACATTGCTGTCTTTGCTATGTCTACTCGTCTTTTACTTCATATATAGTAGTCCTGTATCATAATTTATTTTATTTCCTGTCTGTAACTAATAAAAGTATTGTTATTATTTTCTCATATTTGGAAGAAATTTTTTCTCAATACAAAAATATGTATATTTCTGAGTTGAAATTTTGATCCTATGTTAAACCATGAATTCTACGATTCTAGAAACTAACAAGTAAACCTACCCAAAAGTTACACTCCGATTTCTTTTTAATTTGGCATAAATGTAGAAGTACAAAAAATATTTAGGTCATATTTTTTCATTTTGACCCACTTTTGTTGATGATAAGAGTGAAAACATTAAAAAGCTATAAACTGCCCGTGAAACTCAAAGTGGCCCAAAATGAAAAAATATGACATAAATATTTTTTTTACTTCTACATTTGTCCCAAATTAGAAAGAAATCAGAATGTATCTTTTGGATAGGTTTACTTGTAAGTTAGCAAAGTAAGTTTAATTTTAATGATACAATTTATTCCTACTTTGATTCTGATGATGTCCGAAATTTCCCTTTTTACTTTCTATAACGTCAAAATAAGTTGTATTATAGGCTTCAGAATATCAAAGTAGATATTGAATGAAATAGTGGAGTTAAAAGTAAGAACAAACTTTTAACTCGAGTTAGTACAAGTAAATATGTTATTAATACCCATCGAAATAAATATTTTTTTATTTCTAGATGGTTCTTCTCTCAGTGTACGAATTTTAACAAAAAATCCACTTCTTTTATACAATTATTTTTCCAAGTCAACTTCGCTGTGGCTTTTAAAATGAACATGAATGAGAGAGATCCTTGAGAGAATTTCCAGATTAAACAAACGATTTCCGTTATTAATAGCAATATCGCGGTACGGGTTTACGAGGAGGTGGGGCAGTGCTGATGCATACCAGAGATTCGGCGCGCATTGGCGGTAAGGTGAAAAAATAACAATAGTTATCGTCCTGCGAGAGAGAAATTATGCAATCTCGTAGGTTGGGCCGATCGGTGAGACGATAGAAGAATTAATCTCGAAAATGCTCGTTCGGCACACGACACGCACGCACCCGAGTAATGTCGTAACAACCACGCCGTGTAACGTGAATGCAACCGCGATGCGGTCGCGTGTCGTGACGAACGCCACCCTCGTGTTCGTCCGTCCACCCGTCCGTTCGTTCGTTCATTCGTTCGTCCGTCCGCCCGTCCTCCAGACACGGTGGATCAAAACGAGAGTAAAATAAATGGACAACTTCCGCAAAATTACAGGATTAAATCTCCATTATGGCTCTATTTTTACCGTCTGCTAGTAGAGACAATTCCGAGTAGTTTCCGAGTATTCAGCGCATCGATCGCGCTTGTTTCCACACAACGCAGTATTATCACGCACTAATATTTAACGCCACGCGAAAGCATGCCGACCAGATGAAATATTTTGCAACTAAAGAGGTGCGTAATGTGCGTCGAACACGCACAGATATCGTCCCGTTTATTGCTAGATTTTTTAATTTAATTTTTTTCGTATAGCCTCCCTCAGAAACGAATGCACATTCTCCTGTATACATTCATTCGGTGTCTCGCCCTTTCTCTTCGTTGTGTAAGTGATGTGATTGTATGCGTTGTTCACGAGGAAAATCTATATGTATGTATATCTATTGGAAGGCTAATAGATTTTCGGCCTCGCACAAAACCACAATGGAGAACGCGAGGGCCCGGCCCGGAGAGAGAAAGAGAGAGACAGAGAGTGGGCGAAGGGTATCAATGCCACTTTGATTGAGGCGGTCCTGGTCGATTGTGACATGCTCACTCAGCTGTGCAGAAAGTACAACGCGCTCCCCATCAATTCGGTATACCTGACCGAAGAAAAAAACAAAGCATCCGTACTCCTAAGCGCGATCATTTTACCAACCCTTTACGCCACTTTCGCCGCGATATCCGACCGTAACTTTTGCGCGGGTGTTAAAACCAACATTGCCGCTCGATACGTGGCGGATTATACGTTCATAAGTTTGAGATGAGCACGCTTGAATATTTAACGTCCGCATTAAATCTACCAAATGTTTTTTGACATTTTTTTTAATAACGCGCGCGTATACTCATTCCCTCTCAGTTTTATTTGCTCTCGTTTCTCCCTCGTTCTCCCTTTCTCATCTTTAATTTTACACAGAATTTCGATAAACGTGATAAATATCACATGCATGTGCCAAGTAAAAAAAAAAAAAAAAAAATATATATATATATATATATATATATATATATATATGTGCGTGTGCGCATTTCTTGCCAAATTTAATTTCCATCATCGGATGACAATTTGATTCGAGGAAATTTTCCAAATTCGCGGATTCATAAAAGATTGCAAAGGTTTTAGCTCCCTCCTAGCGCGCGAGCCACGGCGTTTTGATGTAATCGGTCCATCGATCGATCGATACGGTGACCGCATCGATCGACGACAGGCGGGATTGCGAGAACAGTCCTGGAGAAGCTGGTATTACGCCGGACTCGGAAACCAATTAACATGCATAATTAAAATGGCATTGTCGTGGCCGGGCAGCGCCACGGGCTCCCCCGCCGACTGACGGATCCCCGGGGGCTAACGGCGTTTCATAATTACGAAAATCCACCCCCTCCGGCCGCCTCCTCCTCCTCCTCTGCTCGCCCGTCCGTCCGTCCGTCCGTCCATCCGTCCGTCCGCCCGCGCGCGCGTTCCGGTGTCGCCTCTCTTTCTCCAATTGCCGGTATCCGGAAGCTCTCGTCCCGAAAATAGGGGGCGGGGGAGGAGGAGGAGGAGGTGAAAGAGGGTGAGAGAAGGCGAGGGGGGCGCGTGAAAAAAATCGGGCATCGGGTCGGTGTGCGACGAATAACGCATCCCGCCGCTGCCGCAGCCAATAACGTTCGAACAGGCCGGCCGCCAGCGCGATTGGCTAACTTTATTTCGCTCAGTGGGCAAGCCCTTAATTTCGGGGCATCGATCATAGCCCTCGTGCGTCCTCCGCGCGCTTGCAGCAGCGGTCTTTCTCCTCCTCCTCCGCCTCCTGCGCCGCTTCCTCATCCTCCATGCGTTCGCGTACCAGCCGCGATGACCCTCAGTACCGTGACGCACCTCTCTGCCATTCCCTCCGTCAATTTGATGGATTCCATTTCGGATCCCGCGCGACGACGATCGTTTCGCTTCCCCCTCGTGCCTACGCGCGACCTCTCCGCCGAGCCGAGGGGGCAACGCGCCATGGCGAAATTTCGCGCGGTAAAAAAAAAACATTGCGCTCCGAGGCTGGTCAGCGCCGCGATAAAAGTTAATCCGCTGGTGGCGAGCCGGACAGATTTCAGATCGCTCTGATCGCCAAAGCGCCAAAACGCGGCGTTAAGCGCTCAACTGAGCGCGGAGAAAAAATTCGGGGCTGATTGAAAAATCGGCGTTGATGCTGTCGCGAAAGTAAACATAGTGAATTCCCCTCGGAGGAGAGAATGAAGAAATGCCAAAGTGATCTGGATATTACTTGAAAATTACTGATTTCCCAGAGATCAAAGTGTGAAAATTACTCAAAGATATAACAAGTTAAAGTTTCTACTTATAAAAGAACTGCAATCATTTGAATAGGAAATGTTCAGTTTTTGAGTGGATGACAAGTTTTGTTTATTAAATATATTTTTAAG